AACGCCCTGCTCAAAGCAGGACCAATCTCCAACTAAATCATCCCAGCCAGGGTTTTGTCAAGCCGGGCCTTAAAAACCTCCCTAGGTAATTGTGTGGCCTGTTTCTGTGCAGGGTTCCTCTCTGAAGTTCCCTCACCATGCTCTCTGGTCCTGACTCACCTAATTTACTGATAGTTCTGGGCAGATTCCAGCCCCCCCCCCCCCCCGGCTCACCCCCCTTTCCACATCACGAACAAACATGTTGGATACTCCAACCTAGCGCAGAACTCCTGTGACTCCTGCTGTTCACCTCTGGCCATGATAAAAATTCACACGATCCATCGTCTACAGCCAAGCTCTGCGATACAACCGCATTTGCTCCAACCCCTCAGACAGAGACAAACACCTACAAGATCTCTGTCAAGCTTTCTTACAACTACAATACCCACCTGCAGAAGTAAAGAAACAGATTGATAGAGCCAGAAGAGTTCCCAGAAGTTACCTACTACAGGACAGGCCTAACAAAGAAAATAACAGAACGCCACTAGCGGTCACCTTTAGCCCCCAACTAAACCCCCTCCAACGCATTATTAAGGATATACAACCTATCCTGAAGGATGACCCAACACTCTCACAAGTCTTGGGAGACAGGCCAGTCCTTGCCTACAGACAGCCCCGCAACCTGAAGCAAATACTCACCAACAACCACATACCACACAACAGAACCACTAACCCAGGAACTTATCCTTGCAACAAAGCCCGTTGCCAATTGTGCCCACATATCTATTCAGGGGACACCATCACAGGGCCTAATAACATCAGCCACACTATCAGAGGCTCGTTCACCTGCACATCCACCAATGTGATATATGCCATCATGTGCCAGCAATGCCCCTCTGCCATGTACATTGGTCAAACTGGACAGTCTCTACGTAAAAGAATAAATGGACACAAATCAGATGTCAAGAATTATAACATTCATAAACCAGTCGGAGAACACTTCAATCTCTCTGGTCACGCAATCACAGACATGAAGGTCGCTATCTTAAAACAAAAAAACTTCAAATCCAGACTCCAGCGAGAAACTGCTGAATTGGAATTCATTTGCAAATTGGATACTATTAATTTAGGCTTAAATAGAGACTGGGAGTGGCTAAGTCATTATGCAAGGTAGCCTGTTTCCTCTTGTTTTTTCCTACCCCCCCCCCCCCCCAGATGTTCTGGTTTAACTTGGATTTAAACTTGGAGAGTGGTCAGTTTAGATGAGCTATTACCAGCAGGAGAGTGAGTTTGTGTGTGTATGGGGGTGGGGGGGATGTGAGAAAACCTGGATCTATGCAGGAAATAGCCCGACTTGATTATGTAAAGAGTTGTCACTTTGGATGGGCTAGCACCAGCAGGAGAGTGAATTTGTGTGGGGGGGTGGAGGGTGAGAAAACCTGGATTTGTGCTGGAAATGGCCCACCTGTTGATCACTTTAGATAAGCTATTACCAGCAGGACAGTGGGGTAGGAGGAGGTATTGTTTCATATTCTCTGTGTGTATATAAAGTCTGCTGCAGTTTCCATGGTACACATCTGATGAAGTGAGCTGTAGCTCACGAAAGCTCATGCTCAAATAAATTGGTTAGTCTCTAAGGTGCCACAAGTACTCCTTTTCTTTTTGCGAATACAGACTAACATGGCTGTTCCTCTGAAACCAGTCTTTTTTTTCTGACTCTGAGCCAATTTTTGACCCGTGACAATATTTTGCCTCTCGCCCCCTGGTGACTTCGCTTCTTTAGCGGTTAAAAAAGATTTCTTTGGAAGTATACATAAATTATGTCAGCTGGTTCTTCTTTACCCACTACTGTACTAACATGGGCAAAGAATTCTAAGATATCAGCGAGACAGTTTTCCTTAGCTGAATCTCTCTTGGTCTGACCCTACCGTGGAATGATCTCCACAGTGTTTTGTCATTCTGTTTTTAACTAGCTTTTCAGCTGAGAGATGAGGCTGACTGGTCTATATGGAGCACCCCAGAGCCTTTTCAAAATACAAGTCCAAGATTTGCTCCCTCCAAGTCTCTGGAACAGCTGATGTTTTTAATAAGTGTTTAGCCATTTTTTTAGCAGCTCAGCTACCTCGTAGCCTAGGTCTGGTCCCGTATTACATTTTAAATGATCAGTTTGCTCCAGCAGCTCTCTCATAGTACCCAGAGAAGATCAATCCCGGGGCAGGAATTCCCATGACATCTCAGCAGTGAAGACTGATGCAAGGAAATCATTTGGCTTCTCAGCAACGTCCTTATCTCCCTTAATTGCTCCCGTTAATTCCTGGTAATCAAGCGGGCTCACCCAGTCTTTCCCAGTCTTCCTGCTTCTGATAGACTTAAAGGCTTGCTCATGGCTGGTTTTTATACCTTTACCTATTTGCTCTTCAGACTCCATTTTGGCCCCTCTGATTTCCCCCTCTCCTATCGCCTGCGGTACTTTGTGCTCCTGATTATTGGCTTCACGGGGACAGGTTACCAAATCTGGCAGGATTTCTGTTTGCCTGAAACACGCTCTTGATCCTGCCATGTAGCTCTGTTTGGTGGGACACGTGTCTGCTGAGACTCTAGTTGTATTCCTACGTAGCATCCAGGCCACCTCTAGGGATTCGACTCTGTTACTTCCAGCTTTGGGCCCTTCACCCTCTCTCGAGTTCACCGTTTGGCACTTACCTGCCCCAGGGATGTTGACTAATTATATTGCGGTCTCTGGTCCTGAGTGGTTCAGCTACTGTCACTTCTCGAATTAGCTCCTATCAGTTACCTCGGCATCATCAAGCACAGCCTCTCCTCTCACACTTTGGCACTCGCTGCTCCACGAAGGAATCACTGAAAGTGTCAAGATTTGTTTCTTTCGCCCCGTCCCCTTGGGCTGTGTGACCAGTTCATAGGCGGGTAGCTGAAGTCCCCCATTACTATTGTTTTGCTGGGTTTTGCTGCCTTGTCCCTAGTTTCCTTTCCTTGACTTGGAGCCCGGTCATGCGGCCCCACTGATGGAGTGACACATTCCTACAACTTGGGATTTGTATCCACACAGACGCAACTGGGCAGGCCTCTCCGCTCAGAATTCCACTCTCCCTCGATTCTGCGGACTCTTTATGGCTCAGAACTTCGCCCCCAGCTCTTTGGCTTCCTCCGGCTTGTAACCAGGTATGACCCTAGCCCATTGGTTTTCATAGAAATGCCCGTCTGGAAGAGCTCGCGAGAGGTCATCTCATCCATCCCCACCCGGCGCTGAGGCAGGACCAAGTCAGCTTAAAGCATCCCTCCAGGAGCTTGTCCAACGTGCCCTTAAAAACCTCAGGCAACGGGGATTCTACACCTTGCCTTGATCACCTGGGCAATGCTGAGCTAGCCTGAGCATTTCAACGTTTTTCCTAATATCCAACCTAAATCTCCCTGGCTGCAAACTGACTCAGTTACTTCCTGTATTTGTCATTCTGTCACATCACTGCAATGGTCCGAGTCCATTCCCAGGCATTCCAGGGCCCCAGGGTTTGGTTTTACATTTCTTGCATTTGCACACAGACATGTCTAGGGTTTAGTTTTGACCAGGTGCCAGTTTATATTTAACCCGTTGGTCTGACACCCGCTGAGCTTACAGACTTTTGACCTCTGCATTGGTATATGATCCTGCTCTAGTTCAGGTGTAATTTACACCACACCCACCTTTAATTGGATGCCCAGACACCATTCTGAGGGGTGAGCTCCTCAGCTCCTGCCAGCCTTCCACCAGCTCCTGGGGCAAACATTCCTCCTGAGTGACGTCCTGTGTCAGCAGTCTGGTTCCACTTAGACCACTTAGACTGTGCAACCTTTGGCACGCAGCCCACCAGGGAAATCCTCTGGAGGGCCAGGACAGTTTGTTTACCTGCAGTGTCTGCAGGTTCAGCCAATTGCAGCTCCCACGGGCCGCGGTTCACCGTTCCAGGCTAATGGGGACTGCGGGAAGCAGTGGGCAGCACATCCCTCGACCCGCGCCGCTTCCTGCAGCCCCCATTGGCCTGGAACGGCAAACCACGGCCCGTGGGAGCTGCGATCGGCCGAACTGTCGGACGCTGCGGGTAAGCAAACCATCCCGGCCTGCCAGTGGCTTTCCCCGATGGGCCGCATGCCAAAGGTTGCCAATCCCTGACTTAGACTTAGGTGGAGCCCAGCCCTTCCGCAGAGGCTCTCCCTTCCCAAAAATGTTCCCCAATGCCTGATAAATTTAAGCCCTGTTCGTCAGGAGACTGGCTTCCCCAGCGAGAGAATCAGGGAAGTTAGTTCTGAGGTGAGCCCGCTCCACAATGCCCTCCTAGCCAGGTCAATAAAGAACCCGGAGTCTCTGCTCCTTCACGCCAGCAGCTCTGACCTCCCGATGCTGCCTCTGGGCTCTGAGGTCCCTCAGCTGTTTGCACCAGGTATTTACATAAGCCAGGTGGCCACAAGACAAGCCATGTGCCATGACTAGTCTGCGGCTGGTCTCCACGCTGCACAGTTAGACTGGGCTTTAACCCTGCACAGAGCAGGGCTGGATAACATTTGTGGGCGGTTAGTTATTCAGGTAAAAGGGTTTTATTATTGTTCAGATTTCAATCCCTTAGTCAACCCGACTGTTAATGGAGTCGCCCTCCCTGCCATGCCCGGCCCACACAGTGCAAACGTCCCCATGTTCGCTCCATGTGGGACCCCCCAGGCTGCTCGGAAAGGGCCAGAGCAGCACTGAACACCGGCCTTCTTCACTCCATGCACCCGCTTACATCCTGGACCTGCGCTTGGTCTCCTGAAGCCTGGCGCCAAGGACCCTACTATGAAGACTCGCTTGGAGAGCCCAGCGACACCCATTTGACAGTCAGAGTGTGTCTGCGTGTTTGATTGTTGTTCTGTAACTGCCCCTGCCTCAGTTCCAGCCCTGACAGACAGTGACTGCCCCTGACCCAGCCCATGGTGTCTAGCCCCCAACACAACCCCACAAAGTACGAGGTGCAAGCAAAAGAAAGGACACTTACCAGAAGGCACAGATCCTACTCCGCCCAAACACCCCCGTGCTTGCTGGCTCTGCTGGGACCTCCTGCTGCCTCAGAAACAGCTACCAATGCCAAAGGCTTTAGCTCCTCTCACCTGCTAATGACTGAGCCTCCTGGCGTCTGGTTTCCCAAAGCCTGGGACAAGATGCAGGATCCTAGAGACCTTCTAATATGAAACTAAACCAGGGTTACAGTCAGCGCTTTATTGCTGTTTTTAACTGCTCCCGCAGCAAGTCCAGGGTAAGGTTCAAAAACCGCCGTGGCATTTACCAGAAGGAACTGCCACTCAGTCCGAACTCCTCTGCCTATTCTCACTAGATCTGGGGCCATTCAGACCAGGAGACGTGGTTGACTAGCAGACACGGATTTCCTGGAAGAGCAGAGACTTCAGACTATGTGACTTAACCCAAACAATATATATTAGTTATACATCTGTGTGGGCCTGCCCACAAACTCACAGCATAAGGGGTTTACCAGGTTTCGACAGGGCACTTTGATTTTCCAGTGGTCCCTAAGTTAATAGCACATGGTCAGGGCCAACTGGTTTGAAATCTGCATTTTGGAAAGAATGTAAGAGAGAACAAAGCTCAAACAGAAATGGTTGTTTTTTATGGCAATGGAAATGGTTATTATTCAACAAACAAACCTTCCCCTATGGTATTTACAAGACAAATAGAGAGCCTAAAAGTGAAACTAACCAAACACTAAAGTGAAACTGACAGTTACCTCACCTGAAAATGCAAAACCAAACAGCTTAACCAGTGAGAAGGTAACTGAAATTTTTAAATTTCTGCCCATTTGAATTGCTAGGTGCTCGTACCCTGGGGGGGAGAAATATGTTTACAGCAGCATTATGGGCTTGATTCCGATCTCCCCCACTCCAGCGTAAGCCAAAGCTGTGAAATCTGTGTGATTATAGCTGCGTCTGGCTGCGAGGGAAATCAGGCCCATGCAGTTTAAACAGATCGTGTCCTCTTAAGGCTCTGGGTTTTTGTTTGTTTGGTTTTCTCCACCACAAGCTCACTTCCTGCCCTCAGAGCTTACAAAAGAAAAAAAAGCAGGACCTGAATGTGGAGTTTGTGTCACTCCAGCAGAGAAACTCTGCAGCCCCATCCCTCTTTCCACCAGCCACAGCCCATAAACAGGTCCAGGTTATTGTCATTGCTGATTAGCACCATAGCAGGGACTTTTCTGGGCGCTCCCCACTGCTCAAATTTTCTGGGAAGAGCCTGCGGGAGGAGAGACAGATTGGACATTGCACACTCTTGTCCAGGATCTCCTACTGGGCAGTCGGGGATGGCCCGTGGTCACCCCAAGAATGGAAGCACAGAGACCATGCAATGAGCTGTGGCAGAGATCGGGAAGTTTAGTTCAGGCGTTTACAACGCCTTGTCTACACTAGACAAGGTCCGGTGCTATGGTGCTATCCTGGCAAGCCCTGCCTGTGGAGACGTGGCAAGAGGGCGTCTCTGGCATCACTTATACCAGTTCCTGAACGGAACAAGCGATCCCAGCAAAAGTCCTTTTTGCTGGTGTAACTGGGTCCACACCAGGGCTTTGCCAGCAGGGCTATGTCAGTCACAGGTGGGAATTTTTTTAGCTGGCAAAACGTTTAAGTGTTGACCTGGCCCAAGTCTCCCTCTGCCTACCAGGACCTGCCATTCCCAGCACGGGGAGCCGGGCACACGATAACTCTGCTCCTGCCAGCAGCTACAGAGAGCAGTGAGGTGGCGGCCCTGGGGGTTAGGCGCCCAGGTACAAACCCACCTGTCTCCCGGCTGCATACTCAGTAGCAGCGCAGCCATGGCTCAGGATACCCACCTCGGTACGTGCCCCGGCGGAGATTCAAATCCCATTGTGCTGGGCACTTGTAACTGGAGTCGGCCACCTCCCATGCGCCCAATCATTGCCAAGGGTCACGCTACAGGCAGCCGGCCTCAGTTTCCCTTCTTGGACTGTTTAAATAAAACTTCCCTTGGTCAAATATACCTCTCCTTGGGGACTAGATTTTTAATATAAAATTAACTGCAAATAAGAGTCACAAATCCCAACCCAAATCCATTCCTAAGGCTTCGCAAGACAAGGTTTCCCTTCCTCCTACCCCTACCTCTCTGCCTGGGACAACCCCTGGTCTGAAGCTTCCCCGCAGGAGCTTTTCCTCACCTTGTGAAGACTCTGTACCAACTTCCTGGGCTTCCACCTGCTGCCCATTATGGGCACTCCCTGATCCAACCCAGGTGTGCCTATTTAGTGGTCAGGGCTGGCTAGCTTCAGGCCCTCCACCACCTGGTACAGCACCGCACGAGTACACAGCCCTGCCCCCAAACTGCTGACACTCTAAACAGCCCAGCCAGGTGGAGGCAGGATCCATAGCCCCATTTCACAGACCGGAAACTGAGGCCCCAGAGGCTAAGGGAGTTGCCCAAGGTGACACTGGGAGGTGGAAAACCTGGGCCTGACGCCGAGACCCATGGCAGAGAGGGTCTCGTGCTTCAGAGCAGCCTGCCCCTGGCTCTGGACCAGACAATGACAAGTGGGTCGTGTAACCCTGCGTGGGGTAGGCCAGCCCTGCCCCCATGGGAGCCGTCTCACTCCCCTGCTGTACCTCCACACGCCCAAAGAGTGTCATTCCCTGCGCCCTGCTGGCTGCACCATGGCAGATTTCCTCAGCCTGGCTCAGCTCCATGTGGGCCTGAGTCTGGAATGAGAACCAGCTCCCTCCCCGCAGCAGGCTGGATTAGGAGGCAGCTGAGCAGGCCCCGTGGCCCCTTGCAGTGACCTGGGCTAGACCAGAACCGCCCAGACCTGCAGTGCCCCGATGGATCGCGGTGTCCCTCCGGCACTAGCGATTTACATTGGTTAGCCAGCGCTGTATTGCCCTGGGGGCAGCCTCCAGACAGCCCATGCCAAGGGCCTGGCGACACATTCCGAACGACTCTTATTGTGACTTGTAATTGAAAGCTATCGCAAATGCATGGTTCTGCCTGTTTAGCTGGGGTTACTAGGACCCCCTGTCACAGAGTCCCTGAGCGATGCTCTGGAACTGCTCCCCATGAAGCCAGTCAGGACCCTGGGGAAGTCTCCTGTCTGGGAGCAGCCTGTCTGCAGGACACAGCTCACACGGCTTCCGCCTTCCTGGGTCTGACCTCGGAGCATTCAGCATCCTCTGCCCCTCTGTGTGCTTCCCACAGCGAGTCCGCCCAGGCGGGGTCCGGGGGGGGGGCAGAGGGTCCTGCCCCCCAACTCCGCAGTCAGACATGACTCTCAGCCAGCCAGTGAAACAGAGGTTTATTAGATGACAGGAACATGGTCTAAAACAGAGCTTGTAGGTGCAGAGAACAGGACCCCTCAGCTGGGTCCATTTTGGGGGGCAGTGAGCCAGACAACCCCGTCTGCACTTCACTCCATGTCTCCAGCCACCCCAAACTGCCTCCCCCTCCAGCCCCTCCTCCTCTGGGCTTTGTCCCTTTCCCGGGCCAGGAGGTCACCTGATCTCTTTGTCTTCAACCCTTTAGCTCTCACCTTGCAGGGGGGAAGGGCCCAGGTCATCAGTTGCCAGGAAACAGGGTGCCGGCCATTCTCTGTGTCCAGACCCCTGCACACACCTGTCCTCCAGGGCTCTGCAATGATCATACACCCTTACCCCACCCCCTAGACACTTAAGAACTGCATAGGGGAAACTGAGGCACCCCCACACTATTCAGAGAAAACATTAAGAACAGTCCCGCTTTGTCACACCCCCCTCTCTGGAACATAATTAAGCCAGCTCGTTGTAATGCGGTCCATGCAAATGGCCAGCAGCGAGAACAAATTAGTTGCAGCTGGGACCTCACAGTCCGCCCTAAGCTGTGTTTCATTGCAGGCTGGCAGAGACGATACAAACTGTGCCTGGCTCTTGGTGTCAGATCCATGCCACGGACACGAGGCTTCACCTGCATGGAGCTGATTGCAGGAACAGGGTCCCTGGGAGCAGAGTGTGACCCTCTGGATCCTGGAGTTGCTCAGCAGCCCAGTGCAGCGGTGCGGGTGCTTTGCTGCCAGGGCTTCATGTTTGTCTAACACCAATAAAACACACAGCCAGGGTGAATTTTCAAGGCACTGCAGCTGGCATTAACTCCTTGCACAGGGTGCTGTTGGCATCCCTGGGGGAAAGTGAGCCAGGTTTAGTGCTCGCGCCCTTTGGCTTTTACAGACTCAGGTTTGTTTTATCATCCACCGTGAGGTTTTCTAAATCGCTTTTCTCCCAATAAAGGCGTTGGTCGGGTGCATTGGACACCTCATGCTGCAGTTATACTAGTTCCACTGGCAAGCAGCTGCCAAGGGCATGGGCACCGGCTGACAGAAAAAACTAGAGAGCGAGCGTGAGCATGGGCAGGCGCGCTGCCGGCATCTCTGGTTTCTCTTGTGCCTCATTGTCCCTTGCAATGTTGCTGAGCAGCATGGTGACTTCAGGAGGCTCCATGGGTCTCACGGGACAAAGCATCTTGGGCCAGATTCTGCTCTCGTTTCCATAGGTACAAAACGGGAGCAGGGCCAGTGCACAGCTCCAGGCCAATGCCAGTGTGACCGACAGGAGAATCTGGCCCCTGGCCCTGCAACGGTCCTAGCTAAGGAGCAGCAAGCCAAACCGGGGAGAGGCTGGGCTGGCCCCTTCTCCCAGCTGCCCCAGCTGATGCAGGCCTCTCCCGCACAGTGTGTTCTCCAGGGCTTGGCCAAGCCAGCACCAAGTATACGCCCCGCTTCCTAGAGCTCTCTGTTCCCAGATTATGCAGGTGGTCCTGGGGGGCATTTTCTCCACCACCCCTGGGGAAATGTCTCATGCGCTCCCACCCTGCATGTGTGTTTGGGCCCTGGTGGCTGAGAGGGGTGTGGGACGTGGGCACTCACTATGGGGAGGGAAGGCACTGGCAGGGGTCTCACCAGAGGGGCAGGGGACACCCCCCTTAGCAGTCCTGCTCTGACTTCAATCACCCTGATATCTGCTGGGAGAGCAATACAGCGGTGCACAGACAATCCAGGAAGTTTTTGGAAAGTGCTGGGGACAATTTCCTGGTGCAAGTGCTGGAGGAACCAACTAGGGGCAGAGCTCTTCTTGACCTGCTGCTCACAAACCGGGAAGAATTAGTAGGGGAAGCAAAAGTGGATGGGAACCTGGGAGGCAGTGACCATGAGATGGTCGAGT